CACTTTTGTGAACTTTGGGCAGCAAAAACCCTTGAGATGGTACCCACATGGGCCCATCTTCTGATTTTTCTGCTCCTGCAGATGGCGTTAGGGCAAAGCTTGGGTGTGGTGTTACACGGTTCCCTGCCTTTTGAAGAAATCTTAGGACAAACGTGCTCTTTTTTTTATTTTAATTTTTAATTAGTTTCAGGTGTACAAAACAATGCAGTAGTTATCCTTTTCACCCCCTCACAAAGTGACAACCTCCCTCCCCCAATCCACCGCCTCCTCCACATATCTAATATCCTACATATCTACTACAATTCCATTGACTCCACTCCCCACACTCTACTCCACATCCCGTGACTATATATATATATATATATATATATATATATATATATATATATATATTCAATTATAGTTGACATACAATATTATTCAATGTCAGCTTCAGGTATACAGTGCCTCTACACTGTCCATGAAGTGGTCTCCCTAAGAAGACATGTGACCATCTGACACCCTAAAAAATATTTACAACATTATTGATTATATTCCCTGAACTGTCTTTCATATCCCTGTGGCAATATTGTAGTTACCTGTTTATGCTGTCTAATCCCGTCCCCTTCTCCCTCATCCCCACCCTCCTCCCATCCAGCAGCCATCAGTTTTTCCTCTATATCTCTGAGACTTGGTTTACTTTGCTTATTTATTCAGTTCTTTAGATTCCACATATAAGTGAGATCATATGGTATTTGTCTTTCTCTGACTGACTTATTTTGCTTAGCATAATTTTCTCTAGGTCTATCCATATCGTTGCAAATGGTACTTTATGACCCAGCAATTCCACTCTTAGGTATCTATCCAGAGAAACCCAAGACACTAGTTTGAAAAAATATATGCACCCCTATGTTTATTGCAGCGCTATTTACAATAGCCAAGACTTGGAAACAGCCAACATGCCCATTGGTAGACAACTGGATTAAGAAACTGTGGTACATTTATACAATGGAGTATTACTCAGCTATAAAGAAGGACAAATGTGCTCTTGATTGCTTGGGCTCTGTACTAGCTAGTGAGATTTCAGCCCCGTGCATCACATAGGTCCTTCACAGTTTGAACCCCCTCACATCCCCTTTAACTTGGCCCTACATTCCTGAGGGGATTATACCAAATGAAAGGTAGGAAAACAAGAGTCCATGAAACCCTCAGTAAAAAAAGTGCTTGTATGGTCTTAATGAATTATATAATATATATTTTGTTTCTTTAATGCTGGTTAGATGACAGTTGATAGCAGATGTCCCATTGTCTGAATACTTACTGAGCTCCAGGCACCATGTTTAAGAACTTTACTTGTACTCTCTCATTTCCACATCTGAAATAGTTAAATATAACACCATCCCTGTTCTGGTGGTGAGAGATGTGGGACTCGGAGAAGTGTGTTTAAGCTTCTCCCTGCGAGTAGGAAGTGGCCAGGATGCGAAAGTAGTTACGTCCTGCCCTAATGTCCTGCTGTTGGTGACAGATTTGAGCTGGTAGCTTTTGGTGTTTCTTGGTCACATTTACCTGTGACTTTGGAAATGCTTCAGAAAAGGCATAACCCTGAGAGTGGCCAGATGATTCACGCTATGATGATCTGAAGAAGGTTGCTTTGATTTAAGGCAAGAGACCTTTAAATAACAAACTCTTAGTACCTTTAAAAGAAGTTTCTATTTAATTGGAAGTGTTTTATCCATTTTTATTAAATAGGCAACTGTCCTCCATAGAGACGTGCCCTGTCCCAAGGTTCTCTAGGGACCTTGTTATGATCAGGCAACAACCAGTGGTCTGTTCCCATCACTGCTCACACTGAGCTGGGCTCAAGCAAGACCGTGCTTGACTATTGAGCATTGCTGATTGCTCGACAGCCCTTTTGCTGGGCATTATTACAGAGGAGGAAACTGAGGTACAGACAGGTTGAGACACCCTGAGGCCAAAGGAGTAGTAAGTGACAGAACCAGGATCAATCACTTTACTTAGAGATGCTGTGTTGTTGCCTCCCCTCAATGCAATGTTTGGTCTTTTAAATACTAATACGTCTCAGCCTCAAATATGGACTTGCCTGGCTCCTGGCTTCCCGTCTGTTAGAGAGATTTCCTTGCACTGCGGAGGGGTCAGAACAGAGGACAGTGTTTGGCAGTGGGTGGCCTGTGTGTTAGTCTGAGTTGTGCCCTGGAGACAGAGATACTTAGTTAAGTCCTAGGATTGCTTCACTCTGAAATTGGATAGTGGCTCTTGTCCGATGTCTACCACCGAGGGAAATTTGGGGGGAGAGAAGGAGCCTCCAGGAGATAAAGGGGGATTAACTAGATTTGTACTTTACATCCAACATACCTATAGAGGGATTTGTACATCTACAAGGGATTATGGCTTTTTAGCCAGGTTTATAATTATGGTATTATGAGGATTCATGTATTACACGGAACTTTCTGAACCTTTAAAAATAGGGCAATGAGAAAAATAAATTTGTTTGCTGGAGATAAATTGAATATAATGGGCCCATTATGGGAATACATTTTTGTATTTTATAGTCCAAATAGAAAAGAAAAAGCTTTTCATATATAAATATAACCCAAAATAAATATGTGGAGTGGTTAAGAATATTATAATGGGGAATATTTTAACCATAAAAATGGCCCCTCTGGACAAGTATGTCCCCTTTGTTTATATTCTTATTCAAATAGCCTTTGCATCAGTTCTTTTATTAGTCAGGAATGAATCTACCTGTTTCTTGAAATAGTTTTTTTGCCATTGTTATACTAGCTTTGAGCGTCTTGCTTCAATTACTTCAGCCGTAGCTCATAAACTATATAACGTTGTAAATCTTCATTAATATGATTACAGGATATATTGTTCTGCTTTCCAATGGGATGGAATGATTGAGAAGGTGGAAAATAAAAAAGCGCTGTATTAGTGGGACTCCTTTGGTCACAAGTAAATTCACTTGGGCTGGCTGACGTAAAAAGAAGGATACGAAGGATACAGGTGTGTCTTAGGAACAGAAAGGCGAGGGTGAAGTGGCCCTGGGAAATGAACAGGACACAGACATGAGGAAAGGGACTCTCTTATCGGTCGGTGTCACTACAAGCACATGTGTGAGACAAACCTCACTAAGAAAGAAAAGCTGGCAGAAAGGAAAGTAGAAACCTATGCAGTGTATCACTTTACACTTGAGCATGAGATTTTAAAATAGCTCCATTGTATTCGTTGGACCATAATTCATGCTCATTATGTGAAATTCTAACAGTATAAGCAAAGTAAAAATTCTCTAAAATTCTGATAGCCTAGGGTAATCATAAGTATTTTGATAAACATCCTTCTAGACCTTTCTTAGGACATCCAGGAACATGTACACATGGAATCAACTATTCATGGTGTTTCTGTTTTATTCACTCGGGAGTTGTCCTGGATATCTTTTTATATCAATAAATATAAACTTCCATTATTTTCAGTTTTATGTAGTTTATTTAACATGTCTCCTATTTGTGTTAGGGCATATACTATTTTTTCCTCCTAATTATAAACAATGCTGTGTATATCCAACTTCCTGCTTGCACAATTATCTACTTTGAATAACTTCTTAGGATTAGGATTGCCGGATCAAAGGGTATGCCATTTTACATGCTGACATAATTGCTTAAGTGGCCACATCATGAGATATAGCCGTAACATTTGCTATTGTCCGTCTTTGGTAAAGATGTCAATTTGACAGGTGCAAAATAAGATCTTGATTTTCCTAAGTTGTATGTTTTCATTATTAGTATAGTTGAGTATCTTTTCATGTGTTTATTGCTATTTCTTCTCTTATGGAAAGTTTATTAATTTGATCTGTCCATTTTGAGGGGAGTGTTAATTTCCTTATTGGCTTTTAAAACATTTGTGTATAATAAGATAAGAACCTTTTATAAGTTTCATGTATAAATAGTTTACCTAATTTCTCATTTTATCCTTTGACCAAAATATTGGTATTTGTTTTTTTTTAATTTTTATTTGTTTTTGCCATTTATACATTTGAGATTTTAAATAATGTAGCTAGCTAAATGTCGCAATTCTTTATAGTTTCAGATTTTGGTGTCTTGATGTCATGTTTAAAAAGCCTTTCCTACCCCTATATTATAAAACTATTCATCTGTATGTTCTTTTAGAAATCATTTTGAGTCTATTTTTACTTTATTTTTTCATAAGTAGAAAGAGATTTAGATTTTCCCTACTCCTAAATAGCAAGCCAACACCATTTATTAAGCATCTCACATACCTACCCAGATCTGATTACATGTGCTTGGTCTGCTTCAGAGGGATACTTGGTTCTCTATCTGGATGTTTATTCTGTGTCACTGATTCATATGTATGTATGTTCTCACTCAGACTTCTGTTTGTTAGCTGTGGCTGGCTCGATTTGTTGATTTCTACAATTGATTATGGTGCTTCTCTGCTTCAATTGGGTTTTCATGGAGTGAACTGTAAAATGGTCAGTTCTCAATGCCTCAGAGAACTGGGAATGAAGTGAGAGAGCAGTTGAAGCAAGAAGGGACTGCTTCATAGATGTGTTAAAGAAACTAAGTAGGAAAAAAGGTGAACAAGACAAGAAGAGCTCATGTAATCTAATTTGCAGAGCCTGAGATTTGTGTTTTAAGCATTGGTGGGGGCAGAGTGGGAGATGTATATGTTTGGTCTTTGTTTAAATCCAAAGCCATTAAGCATTCCTACCACAGGGCAGAAAATCATGTGTTTTGCCTCTTTGCCAACAGTAACATAATTTTGGTCTTCGAAATAAGTGTCTTGGGACCTCAATTCCCTGTTGGTAAAGAAAATTCCCAGCCCATGTGTTACAACGGAAATTCATTGTTTCCTGAGTTATTTCCTTTCATGCTTAGTGTGGGGGAAATGACCAAATGTATGGATTGAGGGGTGTTTTTTTTTTTTTCTTACAGAAAACTGACGTGTATAACATTACTTGATTCTGATGATTTTTATTATTTTAGGTAGTGCTGAAGGCTTCTCAGATGCTTCAGGATATTATCAGGGAAATCGACTCTACATAAACAGAATTTAGGTGAGTCTTCCGAAGAAGATACTTCATTCTTATCAATTGGCCACCCCCCTGCATTGGTAAAGTTTTAAAAAGCGTTAAAACGTTGTTGCTTATTCTGTTGTTTGATTTTTCACCATGGTTCTGTGAGACAGCAGTGTGCCTGCGTGGTCTTATTACTTCCGTTTCAGTTTGATATTCTACCTGGTAGTTTGGTGAAGTGATCGTGGGGCCTAAACGAGGGGGTGAGTAGCTGGTTTTTTACTATATTGCATGAATTCTCATTCATTCACATATGTTGGCTTCATAAACCCTTTTGGTTTTTTAAGTGCTGGGTAAGGAATTCATGTATAAATTTCCCATAGTCTTGGCAGTAGAACTGCTTGGTGGTTCCTGGAGCTCTCCAGGGAATAGCACACAATTGATCTAGCATGAGAAAAAGTAAACTTGGGTTATAGATGATCGGTTTTCCCCTTTGGTTGTCCTGTGTGCATCGGCATGGTCTCAACTGGGGAAGGGTTAGTTAATCTCCGCTCGTTTCCACGTTCTTACTGTAAAATGTCGAGGGTGGCCCATCCTTGTTCCCACACTTTTAGAATTTGTGAATAGGAAAACTGTAAATTTCAGGACCAATTTTTACTATAGTTTGGAGGCTCTAGGTAAACATAGTCGATAATTGTTAAAGCTGGATGCATGCATGAAGGTTCACTGTATATTTTATGCTGTTCTCTTTTGTGTTTAGACTTTTCCATAATTAAAGGTTTATTTTTAAAAAATAACTTCCATCTACTAACATCATTTTATGAGAGAAGAAATATTTTAATATTAAAAAATAGGATGTCATAAATTTGTCTTTAGATTGTATATATTTAGCATTATGAAAACGCTCTTCATTTCCCACCTCTTTCTCGTTTCTCTGCTGACCAGTGAGCGCTAGCCATGAACGAGCCAGCACAGGCTTGTGCACTGGCATTTGGGAGATAAGGGGGTGGGTGGATGACCGCTCGGGGCTCTTCTGCCTCTAAAACTGCATCATTCCTCTGAAGCAGAAAAGAAATGTACTCTAGTTGTATAGTGGCAATTTCCAGAAAATGCTGTGACAACTAGTATGCTGGAACTAAGAGAGGTCAGAGGTCAAACAGAAGACAAGGGATTGTTCTGTTGAGAAACCCAAATAAAGATGGCTCATTCATGTACGAGTTAAATTTAGCTGTGAGCCACCTTGCAGTCAACGTAAAAATGCACCTTGACAGTGTTTAAGCTGTCCGATAAAAGTATACAAAAGTTCCCCTTCCCACCATTGTAGGCAGCTTCTGGGAATGTGTCTACCTGTGGTGTGGGGACATTGAGAGTTAGGGATGAGGCAGGCTGAATGTCTAACTCCAGGGAGGCCGGTGCAAAGACCAAGTGCAAAAGAGCGCAAAGCTGGGATGTACGGGCCTAGGGCCCAGCCAAGAGCTCCGAGCTGAGGACAGTGGGATCAGACGCACACGGGTCAGGAGGAGTAAAGGCGCTGTCTGCTCTGGGATGTCCGGGCTTCCTGGCATGGATGTTGATTCGGTTGTGGGAAAAGTCATGACGCATTTTTGCAACGAAAAATACATAGAAAAAATACATCATGACTTTTCCAATAACCCAATACTTTAAGGCCCTGCAGAAGGCAGGGTGGTCTGGTCTGTCTGAAGGGCCCGGGCTCACTGGACAGGAAACACATCAGATATAGGCCTTTCACGAGTTTTCAGATCTAAAAGGAGCCTGCCAGGTGGATTCCTAGGCTGTGGGCCTGTGCAGAACAGAAAGCTAGACGTGCCATTTATTTCTCCTTGGGGGGTGGGGATGTGTGCGAGGTGCAGGGTGGGTGGAGGACAGAGGCAATAATGGGTTGAATTATTAGGACAGTAAAAGGATGTGAGGAAGGAACAGTAATACCTCCTATTCCAAAACGCCTGTATAATCCCAGCTGCATCTGGAAGTTCTTTGACAACAGACTCTGGTCTACATTGATTAGACCATGGTGGTTCAGTGCTTTAGAATTCCTCCCTTGGTGATTTCTGGCTTTTGTTTGTTTTAACGTGTCTATTTTCTGGGAAACTCAAACAAAATTTGGCAGACTTACCTGGTTGTGTTCCCTCTGTCAAGCAACTTGGATTTAATGCCTCATTTATACGCTCCAGTTGGGTTTCCACCCCAGAGATATTTGTTTCATTGCCTTTTTTTTTTTTAAGGGAGAAGCTATATCAAACAATGACAACAACAGAAACACCTGTCTTTAGAATATAGAAATATGAGAGATTACCTGAAATCTTGACATTTCTGAAAGTGTCTAAAGTCATGAATAAATGCTAGCAGGAGCTTTTATTTTGAAATAAACCAGAGGAAGGAGAATTGCTTTAAGGGATCTGGGCCAGTCCAAGTCTGAATAAAATTTGCTGAATGAACAACGTAATCAATCAATCATGTTGTGAGCCTTTCAGAAGACCAGGCTATCCTGGGTGAAATCTTGTAGGGATGAGCAATTAAGAATTTGCTTTAAACATGATGCTTTAAAGGGTTGTGGGCCT